AATGCCCATTCGGGGACCCAGCGGGCACCTCTGCTGCTTTATAGTTTCCCCGGCGCGTTAATGGACACATCCGACTGCCGTTCCGCCTGCCCATGATTAAAACTAGGCATGTTTGTCCATTTAAGCCCGTAATTTGTGTCGTAAATCACTCCACAGTCAGCGCCCACGTTTCGCACCTCGGAGTCGTATTTTCCGGGTGGTGGAGGTATAGAGGTATCCATTGTAATGCCCCGCTTGCCTAATGAGTCTAATTGGGGTTGAAACTGCCCTTAAGAACCCTTTTTCGGGTTCGGATATTGCCGAGTCTTTAGTTGGCCATATGAGTGGCCATGATGCGGTGCCAAAAGGTGTCATCTTGCCCCATCATTAGCGCCATTTGTTTTGGCCCTGCGAAGTGGTAAGCAGGTCGGGAGGAGGGCTGTTAAACCGGTTCATTTGCATATCAAAGGCCATAATCAGCACCTTGCAAAACAGTTCGGAACAACCTCGAAATGCATACATATACATACCAGTTTTTATGGCATGAATGGGGGGGGGTTGAGGTCATATAGATGGACAGGCAACCATATTGACAGGCTCCATTTGCCAGTTCATTTGCATGCCAAACTCACCTCACACCTCCATTTTCACCTGGGGTTAATGCCTCCACATAAGGCGTAAAATTATGAGTCCTGCATTAGCGTTAATTGGCTGTGCGTGCAGATACGTGTCGTTCGCATAAAAGATACAAAAGTATCTGCAACTAAAAGGCGGCACAAAACGTGCCGAGAAGTCCGCACTGAACCGGTTTTAAATCTGCAGTATTATGAAAATTATGGTATTTTCACCATTTTCTTGAAATCACAGGAGAGTCCTCCTCCGACGACTATCCCCCCCCGTTGTCCCCCGCTTTTCCTTTAACTGGAAACAATTTGGAATTGAAACAGTCTTGAACGTGGCCCCCCACTCCTCATCCCCGAGCACGCCCCCCTCCCAAACGATTTGCACCAACTGGACGAGGCGAAATTGCCGCAGCTGCGCAGTGAAGGACCTCGTCTAACTTCCAAGTTGGAACCCCAAACGATTCAGGGCGGAGTCATCGCGGCATTGGCGGGCACCTTTCTACACCGATTGTCGGGATTTAGGTGCACACCCACACACACACACACGGACACAAAGACACACGGCTGGGATTTCCACCTCCCCGATTTTCCGCAACCCCATCCCAGCTTTTCCGCGCCGTGGAGTCGAGGGAAACTTGGAGGAGGCCACCGCCCAGTCCATCAGCGGCAATCCGTTAAATATTTTAATGGCCAACAAAAGCATTTTTCGCAACGAATTTACGATGATTCAAGACAAATATTTGCAAGAGTTCTGGGCTTTAAATGTTTATTCTACCAGATTGAAGGCACACACAAAAAATTAATAATCACAACCTGGCCCTTAATTTGAGCAGTGTTTTTAAAATAACTATGTTTAAACATAATTTAATTGCTTGGCAAAGGGCCTCTCATTTTTAAAAGAAATGTGATTATAAAATAAATGATTTCATTTTGGTTTTCATTTGGAAATGATTAAACGGATGAAAAGGTTCTTCACCGATAAAACTACTTTATTTAATAAGCAATAAGTAAATTTACAATTCATAAAAATTATTAGAGTCTTAATAAATCTTATTTTTATGATGACGTCTTGTTGGGAAATGAAATCTAGAAAATTTCGTTCTAAAATATCAAACAGCTTGACTTCTAAGAAAAGCATAAAACACATTAAAAGAATAGTAATTTAACTCCACCTCTGAACTTTATCAAAAGCTTTACTTAGAAACATTAAAGTCTTTCAAGCTAAGTAAAGTTAATATATAATTGCCATGAAACCAAAAGTTTATTAAGCTCAATAAATCATTTTTATGACCGTACTAAAGTTGTATTGTTATATAAGATTGGTCTTGCAAACTTAAACAAATACATTAAAATAGAAAAACTATTTTTTTCCATTTGCAAACCCACCTTTATTGTTATAAAGCCTAACTTGTTATTGCCTAGAAATGTATTATATTGAATAGCTCAACTCATAATAAACGTATGTAAGTATTTTAAATCAAGTTGAAACGAAACTGTAAAGAAAAGTTATTATAAATATAAATGGGGATAATCCATGCAGTTCTAAAGAATTCCTAATAATAACAAGTTTAAAGCTGAGCTGCGAAGACAAAGGATTTCTTTAACATTTATAGCCGAGTTAGCATTCGCTTAACCGCCGAAAATGGCATTTCTAGTTCTCATTTCCAAGCTGATAAGTCGACGGAGACATAACCATTTCGGGTTTGTAATGTCTTGGGGGAAACTTTCAACTGGCAGGACTCAATGGTTATTGGCCCGGCCAAGTGCTGCTCCATTCTTTTTTACGATTGCCATACTGCGGTGTGAATGTGGCTCACATATGCTCCCCTGATTGCGGGTAATTGTCATGTAATAAAATCCAGAATCATGCTCTGTATCTACTCGGGCTTAGTGGGTGATGAGGCCAGTCGAAGTAAAGACAATGCCACCCTCAAAAGTGAACGATATCTACCGACAACTATTTGAGTCAGCATATTTTTCAAAAGACTTTCCAGGAATGGGTGGGTGGTGGAAATGTCCCTGCTTATCTACCCATCCTCTCACCTGTGTAATTATTGCGGACCTTTGGCCACTCGTAAATTATATGTGATCCCTATAGCTAATAGGTAATTTATGTTCTGACCGCAAAACAAACCAACAGAAAAAAAAGGACAAACTTTGCCCGCAAAAAGTAAAACAAATGTCCACGGATTTGGTGTCCATTAGCCTGCGGGTGGAAAACGGGGGAGAAAGGGGTTAGACATGTCTTGTGTGCCGGTCACCTCTGGTGGAAAAAGATACAAAGGACCCACATCAGGTCCTTTTCGGACAATCTAATTACAAAGGCCTTGGGCACATGATATCCTTTCTGGGCATGATGCCCCTTTCACTTCATACGAGTATTTCTGCAACTTTAAAGTCACTTTAAATAATCCATTAGCAATGCCTGCACATCACCCACCGACGAGAGTAAGGGACTTAAAAGCTAAAACCTGTTGAGTTACATCTCAATTCCCCGAACACTTGGCTAACTAAAAAGCCATACCCCTTTTGTATATTTGGCATTTTCTCCCTGCAAATTCACTTTGTCTATACGTCTTGGCACAGATTATGGCTGCTTTGAATAACAATCGATGGCGCGACATTGATGGAGGATGGCGCTAAGGAATGGAAACCATTGTCTGGGTCCTAGTGCTTTTCCTCGGGCATTTTATTACCGTCTGGAGTGGCTGCATTTCCCTGGTTTCCCTCGCTTTTTTTTTTTTTTTTTGTGGTCATGCCTCTGATGTTTGAAAGCTATAAATGGTTTTTGTCATTTCGAATATCGATGGCAAAGTGAATTTTTACGACGGCAATATGCATGCCAACGGATCACAGATTTTGGCAATATAAATCGCTGACCCCTTTAGCCATATCGTATCATTAACATAATCATCATCACCATCAGCGTTGATTTGTTCTAGCTTGATTAATGGAGTTATCCAATCGAATCGAATCGAATCAGACTGGGTCAATGAATTCTCATTAAACCAATTTCGATGTGCATATTAATGAGGTACAGCGAACACAGGTGACATAATCAATAGTTATTAACTTGTCCATGTTTGTGAATTAATTTAAAAGATTTTCGTACTTCACTTGAGCCTTGCTCACAACTTCAATTATAAGATTACAATCCACACCAGAGTTAACCTTGTTCAGAGCATTAAGTTCAAGATCTCTAATTTCATTGAGCTTTATTTCCCTGCTCTCAAATCCCATCTTAAGTTGCTTGTCAAGTTCTAAGACCCAAAACCAGAAACCACAACTAGGAACATAACAACACTGAGTCATCGGCTTCATGACTTCTATATCTCCCATCTGAATACAATTGAATTATAATTGTTTTCGCTGGCAAACTTTATTTTATTTTTATTTCTGCCCATTTGTTGTGCACACGCCGAATGGCCAACAATGTGCAGTGACTGAGACTTTGACAATTATCATAAATAATTTCATTACAATAATTAGTAATGCACGCCTAATGACGTGTAAAAAAATGATTATGCAGATTTCTGAAATACTCTTTCTAAGAAATAATTAAAAGTTCAAATAAATGAAAGAGAAAATGCAAATGAGAAAGAGATAAATTAGAAATGTAGATGTATTTGAAAAAGAGGATTTATAATAATCAATTATTGGATTTCTGATGAATGTAAAAAGCGATCACAATTATTTTGTTTTTTGTAATTAATCAATTTGGTAACATATTGGTACATGAAATGATATAGAATATATCTTATTATTAAAACAGGTAATTGTAGAGTGGGCTATTCGTAACAGTATTAAAGTCACAAACATATGTATTAAATAAATAACATATATATTAAATAAATATTAAAATACATCAAAAATACACCAAACCTATATATTAGTATTAAAATTGTGGGACCAAAAAACTAACCTTTTCCCATATTTATCTTACCCAGAGTACCTAATTTGTACATTAACAACTGATGGATAAAAATATCTTCAAATCAAACAATGCACAAAGCAATCATGATCGTCGAAGGGAGAGGAAATAAAGACGAGGTGATCAGCCGCAAAGCAAATCAATCAGCGTGGCAATCAGCGATAGCCATTGCAAATTAGATACGAAAATAAGACAGAGTTTTTGCCATACCCTGACCCACTGTGCGGATAAAATCGGGGATCTTTCGGGATGGAGGGGACAAGCGTAGACATTTGACAAAAGCCGAAACAAAACTAACAAATTTTTGGCTCATTATTTGTTCTGGCTTCTCCAAAATGCGCGGGCCACAAAAAAGACCAAACACTTCATTATAAACAGATCGTGTTGAGGGGGAATAGGGGGGTATTTGGGGGGTATATCTGGGATCTCCAGCTCAACAGCTTACAGCGATCGTTGGGCCCCAATGTTTTCAGTCGTCAAACGGCAGCATCCAACTCAAGTCGCAAGTTGCGGAATCAACAGAAGCTTCAGAATCGCAGAAACATTGTTTACCTGGGTGATCTTACAAGATGTTCGACAATCATCGACTTATGGTAATTGTGATTGATCGCCCACGGCGAAGACAATAAAAATATACAGATGCTAGTGTTGTAGATATAGTTGCTGAAGCAAAAACATTGGTATCGTTAAAGCTGTGAAAGAAGGGTAGACCAAAAGTTAATAAAAATAAAGAGAAAAAGTGTTGAAGTAAAAACCAATAAGGATTTAAGGACTTCTAATTAAAATAATTATTGTGAATCGTCAAATAAGTTTTACAAATTCCCTCCAACAACCTTTACTAATTTAATTTTTTTAAAACTCTTTCAATATTTCCTAAAACTATCTAACGATTCCTTCAATTTGAAAATAAGAACTTAACTTTTTTAATGAAATTCCAAATTGGTAAGCCATATCCTTCTATTATTCAAACTTTTCAAAAGTATAACTATAATTTATAAAAGAAACATATAAAAAGTGTTGACTTTTTATGACATTCCAAATTTGTTAAATATATATCTCTATCACTTATTTAATGATTTAATTAAAAAACATTTACAAAACAACAGAGCAAGCAAAACAGCATATTCATAACTTTACAATATTACTATATATATGTTTATATTTGTAATCCTCCAGCTTCTTTGCTTCTGCTTGGGAGCACTGATTAGCGTGTCCCTGGCCATCGAAGAGTCCTCGGACATCGAGGAGGATGTGATCAGCATAGCCAACCAGACGCAGAAAGTGATCCGCGTGCATCCGCAGGACCTGCCACCCAAAAAGGACAGCACCGGCAGCCAAATGAACTCGGCCTTCTTCCAGATCCAGACCCTGCGTCCGGCTACGTCGGGATCGGGATCAGGATCGGGATCGGGATCGGGATCTGGCCAGCGGCAGTATGTGGACTCCAAGCAGATGCGAAAGAGGCGCCCGAGGCCAGCAGCCAAACTGCTGGGTGGGAATGTGGCCGCCAGTGGTGAAGATGCGACGCAGCCAGCCTTGAAATACGAACTAAAAGCCTTTCCCAAGCAGAAACTCAAGCAGCAGAAGCAGCTAAACTTGGACACTAGGTTGGCCATGGAGGGGGTGGAGGCCCAAAGTCAAGTATTACCCGTCCAGATGACGCCGGGCCCCTATCCCATCTACTACGTGGTGTCCAAGACCAACGGACGCTTCGGCAAGTTCCCCATCAAGGCCTTCCGCTCGCCCTCGGAGTTCGCCAAGTACCTGGTGAAGAGCAAGGCGGAGCCCATCGCCCGGGATCAGCGCTTCGAGGTGATCTTGTGATCTTCCCCACTTAGTCAAAGCTAATGCCTAAATGCCTAAATTATTACCCCCTAATCGTAGTCGTAACTATAATATAATATGAACGCTAATTGCCGCAATAAACATGTGTATATCTAAATTTAGCCAATGAAACAAAAGCAAAATCCGTTTGAGTCATAGTTTAAATATTCTTTCCCTTAATTGTTGGGGTTTTATTTCTTTTAATGGTTTTTCTGCGCTCTGGTAATTACATGGCATCTATCTTCATCTCTGACTCCATCCGCGGAGTTGGGCTAACTGTTTTGCTAGCTGTTAACTGGCCTTGTCATATGCTAATTTGCCAGCGAATCGAATCGAGTGTCGCGTATAATTAAGCCCCGCATACCCATAACTATTGTCTGGCATTTACATACAGCAACAATAGATGCATAGATAAATAGATACATAGATACGTAGATACATTTGATTTATGGCGTTCCCCTTTCGGCGGCTTTTTCTTGCGAATATCTTTCCAAGTGTCGTTTGCCTTTGTCTATCTTCAGGTTTCCTTTTGTTGGCGCGATTCTTCAGCTGCTTTCTTCGCAAAACTAAAGAACTTTCTCCTGCCCAAATATAGAATATGATGTTTTTAAGATATGCATAAATTTCAGAGATAGAATTGTTCTTTATTTAACATGTTTTTAGGAAAACCACTACTGTGGAATCCAAATAGTAAGCTATGGAACACTTTCTTGTATTTTTACAAGTACCTAAAAATAAAAAAATTATTTTGAAATTTCTTCGGCTTAAATATAGATCATAATCTTTAAAGATATGCATAGAATTGATGGATGAAATGGTTCTCAATTTAGGAAGTGTTTGGAACCGAACGTTTTGAAATAACTTCGGCAGTAGTCTTATTATTATTAAAAATCAATAAAAACATAGAAATACCTTACGATTAAATATAATTCCAATTCAATTCGATCAATTAAATTATAAATAATTGAGCAGTCATAATTACAATCAGCAGATAACATCGAAATCATCCATCTGAAATCAGAGAAAACTGTCAGATACTTTTCATTCGACTCCGCAAATCAGAAGCGAATGGAGGAAATAATAATTGCGATTTTTATGGCACACATGTAACTGGGGGTTGTATCTCTAAGTCTGGTTAATCAACCTGCTGGCGGACCCAGTACCCCACTCCGGAAAATAAACCCCCTCCCCCCCACCCCACACACATGCGCCCAGTGCATTTCCCATTACTTTTGCTCATTTCGACTCCGGCGAATGTGTAATGAACTTGTGGGCATGACGAGAACGCTGAACAAAGTGTGATATCGAAATTTCCCAAAGGATTCAACGCCATATTTTTGCCAGCCACGAAAAAGATTCCTTCCTTGCAGGACTCCCTCCCATTCACCTCCTTCGAATGTGTGTGTGTGTGTGTGTGTGCGTGAAAAATTCAAGGCGAAAAAAGGAGGAAAACCCCAAAAGAAAATCTTCAAGCAACTTCTGCAACTAGCTGGCACAACTTCTGCGGGTCTCGTATAATCAAGCGTAAAAATGCGAAATTAATCAACTTCAGAGTCGACGTCTCAAGTTAACAACGCACAAGGAATTGAATTAAAACTTTTTGCCCCCTTGTAACCCCTTTTCCCGGAAAACTGCCCTTAACTCGGGTTTATTCAATTATGTATTTGCGCTTGTCCTGCAGTAAAAATTACAATCCACAGGACAAGTCAACAGAATTATGAACACCGCCTGGGCAGTAAAAAGTAAATAAAATTCCAACTCCGCGGAAGAGGAACAAAAAAAAATGTATATATTTTTCAAACTTTTCTCGGCGACAGAAGCTGGATTTTTTCCTGCCTTTTCGGGTGAGTTTCTTTTCTGCGGTAATTGCAACGTCTCGCTGTCCTCGGGGAAATGTGAAACAATAAATGAAAATAAATGAATTTTTGTTAGCCCAATGGCCAGCAACCTCGGCCAATCGCCGCGGGGCAAGAAGAACGTAAAAAATTTCATTAATTTCCAGCTTGGCGGCTAACCGCCAACTTGATAACTTAACTTCATTGGGCTGAAACGTTGGCTCTCCCAATGACATTTGACAGCCCTTCGAAGCTCGAAGCGTTCAAGGATCCCAAGGACCAGGCAACAGTACCAGTCGAAAGCCATTTGATCAAAAATTAATGTGTAGTTTGGAACATTCTGTCACATTATACGCGTGTCAGACGGTTTAAAGGGTTACAAATTGGGCAGCCAAAGACAACGCAGCCAGGTGCCGAGGGGTGGAAATTGTCGAAGAAAAGCAAGCACCTTGGTTCGATAGTTAACGTTTTATATATTAGAAATTGGTTAGAGGTTTTTATTTTATTTTTGCCTTTCAAAAAAGTGCCCTTGTGGGAAGGTTATTCATCTTTCAGCTGTGAACCCTTTACTTTCCTTTTAAAATCTCTTAAGATGCCTAAAAAATCAAAGTTCAAATTACATTTTTGAAGCGAGATGACAATAATTAATAATAATCGTATTAGCATGTTATATAATTATTTTTAATTATTGTCATCTCGCTTCAAAAATTAATTCTATTATATTAACCAAGTTATGACGAACTAAATGGAATATTTGAACTGGTTTCATATTAAATAATATATATCACATTCTGGCCAAATTAATGTTTCCATTTGCCCATTTTATAGACAGTTTATTATAGACAGTTTTTGATGTATAAAAATGATATCTACTATTTTAACAAACCTAAGTTTTATGATTGTTTTCTCCTAGCTACAAGAGTTGTTAACGTTTAAGAAGTTTAAAGCTATTTCAGCCCACTGTGCCCTAGCCCTCATAGGCATCAGCATCGGCACTGCCAAGTTTGGCCCATAAAAAACACTGCCCTCATGTCCTCGAGACGTTGTTACTGACAGCCACGTGAAAAGGAGCAGGACCAGAAACACAAACTTTGCGACAGGCCGGCCAAAAAAAAAATGGTGACCCCAAGCAGGCCAGGATCTATCGATGGAGGAGGAGGAGGATGGGTAGGTGGAGGAGGAGGGGGTAGAGGACCAAAGGAGCAGGTCGGCCGAGAACGACGCTGCTTAAATATTAATGCCTCGGGAGTCGGTGGGGCAGACCATGAATAAATTTTTGGCTATGAATTTTCAATAGCCCGTCCTTCCCTTAAACTACGTTTGCAATTTGTTCCACGACTTTAAGAGTGTCAACCGCTCGCAGGTGAGTTTGCAGGGCATTAGGTGTCAGGTGAGTCACCGCAGAACCAAAGTCGAACCGCAAAAGGGTCAGTCGAATTGAATTCATTTCGATTTTCACTTCCGTTTCCTGTGGCACTGAAAAGGCGACCCCGATTCGAACTCCCAATGCGTGGGAACTTTACGAGCCAGCCGGGGAAAAAGGAGCCGAAGGGAGTGGGCACGTGCGTATGGCGCCAATTGCCAAATGACCGCAAAAGTTCAGAGGTCGAGTGCCAGGCCATAGATGGCCCAATAAATGCTGTTCGATGCTGCACACCGAAAAAAGTCTGACTAAATTGTAAAAAGATATTAAGCGTTTTAGTATACAGTGTGATTACAAGTATGCAAATTTAAATAAACATACATACAATAGAAATGGGTCAATCAAACACTTATATATTAACGCTTATATTATAAAGAATAATAATCTTGTTAAAGATCAACTATGCTTACATGCTTCCAGTTAATGTAGATGCATTTATTCTTTATGGCAATTTATTTTTCAATAAAGAAAGCTATTTTATATTATTAAAACAAAAATAAACAATTATTATACAATACTATATATTTTAATAGGTAATTCCCTTTAAAAATTTGTCTTCTGTTTCTCCCAGCTAATTAACATTTACTTTAATTAAGCTGCATTATATTTCTCTCTGTGTCGATGTGGGGCCTTAATCAAAAACAAAACTCCAGGCGGAAGTGCTCCACTCCCAACCATCACGAACCCGAACTGACATTGCCCACTGATTTTATTTGCTCATCCGAAGCACTTTATGAAGCTTTTATTTGATTTTTATGCCAGCCGCTATTTCCATTTCTGTAATTGAATTGTCATTGTCGGGGCGAAGCCACGCAGCTAACCACCGACTACTGGTTGGTCCTGGTGCTCGTCCTTGTTTTGGGCATCCTTGCGGTGGTTCTGGTTGGTCAGCCTTGGCGCCTGTCCACCCGTTCGATATGTCCGGACATGTCAAAAGCGGTTTTGCGCTTGATTGGCGCTCGGACCCCCGGATAAACACCCAAAGGTATACAAAAGTGACGGACGCAGGACAAAGGACACTGGACACTGGACGTGGCACGTTCCGGAGAAAAAAGGGTTGCGGTCACAAAGTTCCGCCCCAAGGCCATGGAATTGGTATAAAAATTGCCAGTTAGAAGTGTCCATTCATTGGCAAATTGCGGCAATTGATGTGGGTGACTGCAAAAGTTTGGTAGTTGGGTGGTGTTTCTGATGGCTGATGTGCTAAAATGTCACCAAACGAAAGTGAGCAAATAAAAGTGTCACAAGAAGAAAAGCAATTTGAAGTTTTCCTGCGTTGGGGAAAGTGCTTCCATTTGTAGAAAACTTAAGACACCTGCTGAGGTTGCATCAATAAAAAGGCACATAACACTGAGGTTTTTCAGTAAGGGTTTGAACAAAAAAGATACAAACTATTTGCATAGTATTTAAATACACAATAAGGTAAATATATTTTAAATTTATGATTAGATATATCTCTATATCTGCCTAACAGTATGCTACAAAAAAAATTGTAGGTTAGTCTTGTTAATATAGTAGAAAATATTTGGATGAGTGATAATAAATGCAAATTAAGGACTGAGAGTAAAAATAAAAATTGTGTTTTAGAGTATTTATTCTCTGTGATTAATGACCTTACTTTTAACTGCAAGTTAAGTCTTAAATAATGATAAAAATATTAAAATCTATATTCACAATAAAAAGTAAGTTACCTTCTTATTAGAAATTACCCCTTTAACTACTACCCTTGCAAAATAAAACACCCTCTTTCGCACATTGGCATATATCATTTGAGATGTCCTTAGAAACCCCCACTCCAAGATGTGCCATCCACCTGTTCAAAAATGCAAACTCGCCTTTGCACACTCTTCGATGCCCATTTCGAGGACAATTTGAGCAGTTTTCA